CAGCCTCTAGAGGGAGCATTCTTATCGAGGCAAAAGTACCATGGTAAAAAAATGACATCATGAAATTGTGACTTTATAAAATAAGTAGAGGGAGCACAGCTGGAGTGACAACATCTGACCAATCAGATCGCTCGGTGTAGACGTGTGTGTGTGTGTGTGTGTGTGTGTGTTCGATATCGTTCAGCAGATGGAGATGAGTGTGAGTTGGACGCCCATACTGTCTCTGACTCTGCCATCCTCTCTGCTTGTGGTCACACCATCCTCCTCCTGTCACGGCCTCGAGGCGACACACACACACACACACACACACATACACATAGAGAGAGAGAAAGGGGGGAGGGAGGGAGAGAGCACACTGGGAGTCTTTTCTCTCTCTGTGTGTGTGAATGTGAGTCCAGGGTTGTGTGGAGGTGATGTCAGGCTGCAGATTTTCACTGAATTCAAACACAACTGATCAAAGACACGGTTGGAACAGGAAGTGAAGCGTAAAACTGGATGAGTGAAAACCTCTGAACGAGAGTCAGGAGAAATTCAAACATCAGGAAAATCTATGAGGCAGCGACAGGTGGTCCACACACTTCACATCCTCAATCATCTGACCTGTCCTTCTTTCTTTCTTTCTTCCTTTCCCCTTCCTTCCTTCCCATCCAGCATCCACCTCTCCTTCTTTTCTTTCATCATCCATCCATCTTTCTTTTCTTCCACCCATTCATCCATCCTTCCTTCCCTCCCTCTCATCCATCTATCCTTCAATCCCTTCTTCCTCCCTCCCTTCATTCATCTTTCTTCTTCCTTCCTTCCTCTATCCTTGTTTTCTTTCCATCAATCCTCCTTCCCTCCTTTCTCTCCATCGACACTTTTCACCCATTCATCCTCCCTCCCTACTCTGCATCCTTCCATTCAGAGTTTGTCAGAGGGGAGTGGGTCACATGACCTGGTCCTCGATCAACTGACCTGACACTGAGTCATTCATCTGATCAGCTGCTGCTGTCAACTGTTCTCATTCATGAAAACTGAGCATCAGTGGGACACTGTGGGTTCAACCAGGATCAAACAAACAAGCAGTTTATGGATGTATGCAAAATCGCTTTATTTCCATTATTTTTCCTTTTTCATACATTTGTTGTGTAATAAATAGACATGAGACGAGCCGATGCTTCAGTCCTCCTCCCATGCCGATTCTGCACCTTTTTTTCTCCACACCGCAAACAACTTTTCATAGAATTTACAACAGAAAATAAAAAAACAAAGCTTGACACAAGCTGAATTTCCTGCTACCAGCCCAGCTCAGCGCTCGCCTCATTATGTTACATCCACCTGAGCTGTGTTCACGTAGCATATTCCCAGGGAACAAAAATATATATATTTATATCGTATTCACAGTTACAGTATTTACACATTTCAGGATTATAAAGCAAAATGGGCAGAAAATGAAGACGTTTCTACAAGAAACAATCTTTCAAAAAGGGAGGTGGACACTTTTTTTCCTGTACACAGGGAACCTTGTCTTTAAATAAACAACCTTTGAAACCCTCAGATTCCTTTTAACTGATCCCTGAAAATAGTTTTAAATACTCAGTCCTCTGTTTTTAAAAAAAGAATAGAGAGAAAGCGAAAGATGCGTCTTAAAAGTGTTAACCCTGTGAAGATAAAAAAGTTTTCGATCTTCTGTACAAGTAATCATATACAATATAAACATCACTGATGGAAAAAAAACAAACAAGGAAATCTCCATCATCAATCAAACTGAAGGAAAAGCAATGGCTGACTTGGTCTTGATGGGAGTGGGAGGTGGAGTGGGCTGATTGAAGAGGGCGTAAAGCTGAAGTGCATTCACAAATATTATTTTTCTATCTTAATGACTTTATAAAGAATGAACGACCCTCTAACATCTGCAGAGTCGTGGAAACATTAAACACTGGTAGAGTAATAAGTGTAGCAGTTGAATCGAGGAGAGCATCCAACACCCCCCCGACCCGTGAGAGAATGGGCAGCAGCTCTGTGCATGTTACCACGGCTGCAGGTGACTCTTCTGCCCGTCAACTGTCAAGTTACGCATTCGTATGGCACTTAAAAATCAGGAAATAACTCTTTCTTCCAAAGTATTTTTGACGCTGCACAGTGGATGTTGGATTCTGTTTTGATCTAACTTTTTTTGCTCTCCATGATTGGTCGGCCTTCTGCGCTGTGTCCTACAGGGGGCAGTGCACTCACATTCTCACAAACGCCGAGATGTCATGATAAATACTTTGAGTCAGAAGCTTGACACACACATTCTCACTCTCAGACACACACACACACACTCTCTCTCAGACACACACACACATATAACACAAATATAGTGTCTTTGAAGGAAACAAGCCAGAGGTGAACCCTCTGAACAAAAGTGGAAAACACTGGAATATCATTAATACAAATTTTTCACGTCATCTCTGACTTTTGCATAAACCGACAGGAAGCAGCACGATCCGTCATTGGCTGGTGAAAGCGGGTGCGATTTCCCAAAAACATCCAGATTTTTGTGGCAGGATTCAATGATTTTCTTTTTTTCATCAGTTTGATTAATTTCCGAGAAAACCGGTTCAGGAGGAGGTAGGAGCGAAAATGCAGGGTTTCAGTCAGGGGCGGGCCGTGACGCTTCCGCAGTCCTTCCCCCCCCCCGCCTGCTGCAGGATGGGAAACGCAGCCGTCTGCCACCTGATCGGGAGGCAACCACGTCCCCCACCCCTCACAGAGAGGTTGTGTTTTCCCTGGTGGGCTTGTGCGTCTCAACAGTATTAGTAAGCAGCTGATCGTGTGAGTCTGTATCACGTGTGGTGTACGTAAAGCTTATGAGACAAATGAGAAGAAAACAAAAAAAAAAGTGTAAAACTGTACAAACCAGGACTCGAAGGGGAAGGGGCCGTGCTGAAATACTGAAATCGCTGAGAGGAGGGGGAGGAAATGTCAAGTCTTCTGTAGATTCTGGGTCACTGGCATTCATAAAAAACTATGCATTTTTTCTTTTCAAGAGCACCATAATTCGTAAACAATCTAGAGTTAAATATGTGAAGAGTTCCGTACAGGTAGCTTAAACTTTATTCAGACCGTCTGCAGGTTTTGCCCCGGAACAAGACCTTCCCGTCTTCCCCTCCTCCTCGTCCAGGGAGTCAGCGTGCAGTCTGCGCAGGAGATTCTTCTGCTGTCGACCGGACGTTAATTCAGCGTTCCTCTGCAGTTCTCTGCCCCACACAAACAGGGGATCTTCTCGTCCTCGATGGGGAACTTGTAGTCGTACGTGATCTCCTCGTTGACGTTTATCGGCTGCCTGGAGTAGATGACGATCTTCTTCTGAGACTCCACAGTGATGACCTTCGCATAACAGTTGGGCTGAAAGAAAACAGACAAATAAACATGAATACCTTATGGTTGTCGTTCTGTTTGGAGTGATACAAATATACAGATACTCCCCTTACGTAATAGAATAATATAAAAATACTCTTAATACGTAATACAAGTGAGCATCATGAATTCAAAAATGTACAGAAACATTTGAAAGTGCCAAAAGGTAAAAGTTATCATTATGCAGACTGGTCACTTTTAGAATTGTTTTTTATTTTTAAAGATGCATGAATGTGTGAGCAGCATTTTGTTGCAGTTGTTCAAGATGATATTTTTTAATGATATTCTGCAAAAACCTCCAATCGAACCGAAAAAGATGTTTATTTAAATGTCCTAAAAACTTAGAGTGATGATATTCTAATATTTCTATTATCTATTTCTTCATTCTTTCTTTCAAACGATGGCAGTTACCTTGAAACACTTTTACTTTAATAAGAAAAGAAAAGAAATTCACAACTGAACTGATTCTTCAGGTGGAAAAAGTTGTTATCCGTTGACTTACATTGCAGCTGTGGTTGATGAAACGGGCGAAGTTGCCACACTTGGTGGCGTCTATGATGGTATCGTGGTCGACACGGAACATGTAGCTGCTGCCGATGCCCTCTTCCTCGTAGCGCTTCTCCCGCATGTCCGCGATCACCTGGAAATGAGGATCGATACTTGTGAGGGGTTTGTCAACTTTAATCATGAAACCAATTGTTTTATCTGGGAAATGTTCTTATTATTATCAATTGTCTCAATGACTTTAACGAAATGAACTGAAGCTCAAATTGGGTTTTCTTGCTACTTGTCCACATTTCAACAGCTCAAAGATTTCAAGGGTCAGTTGTGTAACTGTTACAGCTCCAGTATTCACTTCTTTAAAAAGCCCTGGTTGACCTGATAAAGCAAACGTGCACTACATCTATATAGGAAGTTAGAAAGACCCTTTCAGAGTCCGTTTCCCGACACACACACAAAAACACTTCAAACTGGAGCTGCCTCTCACCTGTCTGATGTTTTGTCCGACGTACTCGATCACCATTTCATCAGCAGCGATGGGCTCCATGGCAAACAGACCCCAGTCGTGGATGTGCGACTTACAGAATCTGATCTTCTTCTTACGGAACTGAACGAGAAAAATGGGAGAAAAAGTTGAAGTTATTGTTTAAGTTTTTGAATCAAATCCAACCATTACAACCCAGGATGAGCAGCTGTCTGAGTTTGTTGTGCTCGTCCGTCTTATCTTCTTCTCGAGTGTTTTTAGAATAAAATCCAGTGAATCAAAGAGCAGAGTTCTGTTAGATTTGTTGTTACCTTCAGCTGGTTGAACTTCAGCAGGTCACTGTCACATGCGAAAGAGGACAGCAAGCGTCGCTGCTCTGACCGCCGCTCCGAGCCAGCTCTGGTAGAGGCGTGGACCTGTGCAGGAATACTCATACCCTGAACAGAGAACATAGAGTTTGAGGTTAATGCGTCGCACATACACGTGGTCATTTAACTCAGGCATCGCAATCCGTCATCTCCCGCCCACCTGAGTGTCGACCGGCGGCTCCTCATACTGCAGCTTCGTGCTCTGAAGATATTTGATTTTGTCCTTCTTGTCGATCTTGTAGTAACCTTCGCTTCGGGCGCAGCCGGTCATGTGATCCCTCATGCCGTCGTCTCGCCTCTTTTTCTTCACTCCAGGGATGTTGGTAGGTGCCGGGGAGTCAAGGGAGAAACTGAGAAAATCCTTGAACCAAAAACTCTTCTAACACTCAACAGATACTGGGGTAGTTAATCCCAGTTCCTCTGTTTCACCACCAGAGGGGGCTGCTATTTGACACACAGGGTACACAACTAGACAATTATGATCATTTTAAACAGAGTTTAACTGAAGTGAACTCCTAGAATGATTTACCTCTTAATGGGAAACTTTAGTTTAGTGTCACAAACAAATAAGCATAATTAACATTAGACTTTGAGCAGAAAAGGATATAAGGATGGCCGACCCAGAGTGTGTCGTTGAGCCAGTCGTTGCCATTATCCTGCTGGAGCATCTTGTCATAGGTGATCTGCAGGAGCCGAATGTCCTCCTCATCTATTCCCTCGTTCCAGATGTCGTACAGGATGGTCATCTCCTCGAAGTCAGAGCGTCGCTTGAAGTACGGCCGAGGCGGCGTGGTGACCGGGGACAGGCTGTTCAGCAGCAGCTCTTCCCAGCCTCGCCGCGCCCTCCGAGCCGGCTTCACGACCACAGGCGCCTCGTCCTCGTAGGAGAGGAAGCCATCTTCTGCGGGCAGAACCGTCTGAGGCTTGACGTCTCCTTCCCGGAAGTCCAGACTCGGGTGGTCAGGAGACTTGGCCGACGTGATTTGCGTGGATAGATCTATGAGGTGTGCTCCATGAAGCAATGTAGTGGACTCGGATGAGAGCTCCAAAGACTCGTCGTCCGCAGCAGATGGTATCTTTTTGCCTTTGGGTCGTCCAGGTTTCCTCTTCGATGAAGCAGTGTCTGATGGCACAGGGACGTCTACAGTGAGACCAGCAGGCAGATCTTCAGGGACACTAGCTGAGAGCTCTGTGTCAGTGGACAGGGTTTGATTAGGCAGTGCACAAATGGGCGGCTCCTTAAAAACTGGTCTATCATCCAGGCTCTCAGAGGATACTTTCCTATTAAGAGTTAGTGCTGTGGGGTCAGGGAAGACAGGGGTGAAGGTTAAGTCTCTTCCTGGGGTGCGGGGGACTCCAGCACTGAGGACAGGGGATTGAGCGGGGTAGGAAAAGGGGCTACCAGGGATGTGAGGCGAGCTAAGCAAAAGGCTACTCCCCGTAAGCGGGGCGTCACTACCGGGTGTGTTGGGCACTGTGTCCGTGCTCTGGGACTTGCCCAGACTGCGGGCACGCTCCATCAGATCCCTCCCCGGTGTACGGGGGATGTCTTCATCTGTGGGGAGCCTGGCCCGCTGTGGGAGGTCAGGAAGGGGACCGGGGGGTGGATGAAGGAGGGAACGACCTTCTATCGCAGGGTGAGGAGGGAGAGGGAGGTGCATTGAAGATGCGGAGACGGGTTTGGGGACAGGTGCGTTTGGATCTAAATGGGGTGGGGGTAATCGACCGGGGGTACAGGCTACTTCCCCAGCCTCTGTTTTACCTTTGGCTTTCGACTCCCGGTCACTGTCTGGCGCCGTGCCTGTGGGCGTGGGTGGCCGAAGGTTCGCTACGTGCTCCTGAGGTTCAGACTTCACTACGGGGATGGTGCCGTCTCGCTCTTTGACTACAAGAAAAGAAAAGATATTTGTTTTGTTTAACCTAAAATCAATAATTATTTAATTAATAATAATATTTAATAACTTCGTAGGAATGTTTCACATGATCTCTACAGACGCAGTTAAAGATGCTCACCTGGGCCTTTAGGTGAAGGCGGCTTCAGGTCCACTGCCTCCTCCACAGGACTTGGGGGTCTGCGTTTGTTCTTGCTGCTAAGCACCTCTTTGCTTCGTTTATCCTCCTTGTCTTCTAGGACAGGTCCTGCAGGTGGGCTCGGGGGCTTGGCCTCCGCCTCCTCTTCATCAGAAGATGAGGACGATGATGACGAAGAGGTGGACGACGTCACAGCCTCTTTGCCTTCATCCTCTTCTGCTACTGTCTCCACTTCTTCCCTCTCCTCATCGTCCTCCTCTTCTGAGCTTAACTCGTTCTCGGAAGAGTCTTCGCTCTCTGCTGAGGAGTCTGAGCCGACCTTGGAGGAGGCTGAACTCTCGGCTTCTGCAGGAAACAGGGGCAAAGAAATATTGAGTTACAGCGAATATACTTCATAAATGAACTTACTCCTGTTGTCAGATATTTAAAGTACCATCATCAGATGAATCGGAGGAGGCACTCTCGCTGGATGAGTCTTCATCGTCACCCTCCTCATCACCACTCTCCTAAGAGATGATCAGATATATTATTACAAGAAGGCACCAACAATCAGCACATAGAATTATCATCATTTTCAAGAAAGCATACTTTTCCTGACAACAGCATGTCTGTAGCTCCAGTTTCATCAGGTTCATCCGCTCTGTCCGACAACGACGACTCCTCCTTCCCTGACGTGTCCACCTCCTCCTCTCCCTCGCTGTCCAGTTCCAGTGGCCGCGAGTGCCGTCGCTTTGCAGACATGCTGTCGCTGTCCATTTTTGAATCGTCCAAGGGGAGCTCGGCTGGGTCTCGATCCCGGTCTGACAGAAATAATCAAATATTAGTTTAAGTGGAGAAAATTCAACACTGCATGTATTTGCTTTTGTTTTGCTTTATTGACAAAGGAGGGGTACCTTCATCCTCCAGCTCGTCATCGACTGGAGTGGAGGGTCGGGCTCGTTTACTGTCGCCTGCTGTCGCGGCCTCTGGTGGGTCCTTCCTTTTCACCTGAGCACATCATGCAACCAATAAACACCAATGGAGTGCAACACATTGAGAGTAGAGACACTCCCTCTTTATCCAAGTTTTCAAAAATACGAGTTTAAGAGCGTACCTTGAAGGAGGGTAGACGGATGGCTCCACGCAAACTGATTCCCAGGCCCATTCCCTCATAGCCCAGTCCCTCGCCCTTGTTCCAGTTCTCCAGCAGACTCGAACCAATCGTCTCTTTGGGTTTGGGTCTTTCTTCTTCTTTCCCCTCTGCGCCCTTCACTGGAGTCAAAGATGCCTGAGAAGAAAAAATGTGTAGCTTTAAAAAAAAATAAAAAAATTCAGTCTCTCACATTTTAAGAAACATTAGCTGCTTCACAATTAAATGTAATTCATTTAATTTGTTTTGATTGACATTTAATTGATGTTAATACAAACTTCGGCACAAATGTTTTTCCCACAATTCTGTGCGTGTGTAGATGTGAGCTCACAGTGTCTCTGTTGGTAACGCACTGTTTTTATCTCGAGTGGTGAAATGTAAGACTCACCTTTGCTGAGCGTTCCTTCTTATCCCACCAGTCATCAAAGGCTCTAAAAGCCACCACCTCGACCATTTTACGGTTGAGGTCCCTCTTCATGATGGCCTTCAGCTCTTTGACGATAACCAGTAGCACGCCATCGACAGTGGCCTTGTGCGGATCCTCCTTTTTACCCTCGTATCCAGGTGGAGGAACAGTGGGGTTGAACTTTGGTACGCTGGATTGCTGCCACTGTTGTCCAGGTGCCCCTGCACTGCCACTCGTGGGCGCAGTACCGAGAGACAGAGGTGCGTAAGGTCCACCAAACTGGGCCGACGCACCACTGTCCATAAAGTGTGGATAGGGATAGGGCCCTCTAGTCTGAGCGATCCGACTCAACATCTGCTGCTGCATCTGGAACGACATGGGCACCGTGCTCCACTGCTCCCACCGCAAGCAATTCATTAGCTCCATTTGCACCAGTGGCATCATGCTCGGAGGGTAGGGACCCATGTGTGGAAGCATGTGGTGAGGCACTCCGGGATGACCGGCCAGGTGAGCAGGATGCCCCTGGACGGCAGCGTGAAGGGACAGTTGGTGATGCGGGATCGTGAAGGCGGCCTGGTGTGGCAGAGGGGGGAAGCCGGGGGGAGGGATGGTAATGGTCTGCATCGGGGACACTGCGGAGTTGACAACGATGCCCTTGCCACATTCGCCACTGGTAATTGGAGTCCCAGGCATCTCATCCTCAGAGATTTCCATGTCTTCGCCTGACGACTGATGACTCTGTGTGAAAAAGGAGGACAGCCTGTCAGGACTACGCTAAGTGAACATCATTTTTCACAGGTTACACAAGTACAATATGTATTTTTCCATCTCTCTGACAACGATGCAAACACCATCTACTTCTGGGTCATTCCAGGTCAAATCATCCCACTTTTGGGCAGAACTGTCAGAGATCTCAGCAAAAACCAAACTTTCTAGAGTCCTTGATGACATTATAAGCTAAAGATTACTTTTATAGTCACTTATTGTACTGTTATATTTCTCTATGACTTAGATTGAGGGAGACCTGGCTAGTCAAAGTCCCAACTGCTTTGGTTCATATGTCCCTCATTTAGGACATTGCAGTTCTATAGGTTTCTCATACCTACCTGAGTTTTAGTTGCAAAGTCTTAGAAATGTTTTTTAGGGAACATGAACAGTTCTTGAAATACTGTTTGTACACAAGCAGCCATGGAAGAACTTTGCATGAAGAAAATCAAGTCAAAATAGGTGAATAACTGTTTGGAATTTGACTGAGCAAAAGTTTAACATAGCTTTTGATACTTTGACACATTTCAGTCACTATGAAAAATGTATTGATGTTTTATCCCGACAGACTTCCACAATAAGAGCATCACAGATTAAAATGCTGATCTAAGCTCAAACACAGCTGACCCAAGTCGTTTGTCGGCATGTTTTAAAACCAAGCTGTTTGTTCAAGAATCAAATTACATAATCCTCAAACCAATATCAGCAAATATGAATGAAAGGCTTAGACATAACAGAAGTGAACTCTCTTCCCTGGTGTTCAATTCTAGAAATAACATATCTGTCACAAACTGTTTAAATGTTGATACTAAGCAGAGTTAACTCAACCTGGGAGTGGAGTCGTTACCCAAATGACCTGTTTGCACTGTTTGCTTTGTGATAACTTGAAATGTGAGAGCAGAGATGCTGCAGCCAGTCCTCACTATCAGCCTCAATGAAAACCAGGAAATGCTGTGTTGAATGGGGCCCAACGACCAAACCGCGTTTTCTTCCAAGAGCAGCGATTGTTAGAAAGAGGAAACGAGAGTGTGCAATTCCAACAGCAAAAAGGCTCTTATTTCTCTTTCAAAGAGCGCAGCAGCAAGTGTAGGAGTACAGGATCACGGGCCAGATGTGTAACTCAGACTACAAACCAGCTCCGTTTCACGAGAATGTGAAGGTATTTGTAAAGATGCAAGTTGTGAATTCACAACTTTTCATTCATAACTAATTCCAGCTTTGACCTGTGCAGACAGGACATTTATTTGAGCTTTCATGAAACTTTTGTTCTTTAAAAAATTACTTTTACTGGTTTTAAGATTGTTTTCATTCTTTGCACAAAAACTGACAACAGCAAACTGCTGTCTTCCCAGAGCCTTCATTGTCTGAAACTGTCGAAGAAAACAAAAGGGAAAGTTTACTACCACCACCTTGCACTGAAACTAAACCTCACTTCCTGTGTCCTCTGAGTAACCGTCATTCATACCTCTGCGTAAACACCAGCACACAACAACTATCAAAACAATCACTTTAGTCCCTCAGAATGCTGTTTCCAGTGAATAGTAACCAACTTAACACATGGAACCATGCATCCTGCAAATACAGAGCTGTGTTTATACTAATATCATTGAAAACTGTTTCTTACCGTGTCCATTTTATCAGTGGGAGTGTGGACTCGAAACTGTCCATCTTTCAGTTCACTGTTGCTCATCTTCTCGTGGACAGGAGAAGTGATTTTCTTGACCAGAGGGGCAGTTCCAGGAATCGGCTCCTCGTCCTCAGAGTCCGGTAGTGGGGTCGGACTGATGTCCTCCAGGCCTGTGCTAGATGGACGGGAGTTTTGCTGCCCACCCTGAGAGCTGCCAGTGTAAGGGGGAATTGGGGAAAGCTGAGAGGACGAGGAGGAAATCGGACTTCCCTCCATTCGCACCTCAGTGTCCGAATCTCGTTCCTCCAGGAAAGGCAAAAGTTTTGTCCGTTTCTCTTTGAGGAGCATCTCAATGCGGGAGTCCAGGCTATTGCGCTCTGGATCCAGTGCAGGGGAGCCAGGGGAGGGGCAGCGTTCTGGCGTTTGAGGAGGAGGGGTGGTCGGTTGGGCTGCGGGCTCAGGTGGGGGCTCGGGAATCGGAGGGGTTTCTGGTCCCTCCTTGACAGGCAAAAAGTCAGTGGCAGCCGGTGGTGGCGGCGGCTGAGGTGGTCGGAGGTAATCACCCTCCCTCTGGGGTGGGTGATGGAAAGTAGGCTCTGATGGGGGGAACGCAGGGGGCAGCGGAGCCTGGTAGGGCGAGTACGTGGACTTGAAGTTGGGCGTAGCAGGGGGAGGGGCTGTGAAAGACGGGGTGGAGGGTGGAGGTTCAGGTGGGGTGAGTTGGTGCTGTTTGAACAGACCCTGTTCCGATGTCGTACCTCGATACATGTTGCTGCGGTACTGAGGCCTCTCTGGTCTCCGGTTGTACGCATCTTGGAACTTACTCTCGTGTCTCCGGGATTTGTATCCTCCGGAGCTCTCAGGTCGGCTGGACTGGTACGCAGGCGTGGACTGCCGACTAGAGTAATTAGAGTCTTGAGAAAAGGGCGTACTTGTCTGGCGGGGGGTAAGAGGGGTTCCCTGGGACTGGGGTGTGTCCTGCCTTAGGCTGGAGAAACCTGTATCCAGTGACAGAGGAGTGGAGGAGCTGCTGGGTGGTAAAGCTGCTCCCCCGGCTGACACGCTGCTCTCTGACAACCTTCGGATGGGCTCGCAGGCCTTGGAAGAGAAGAACAGGATCAGGACAACAAGTCACAGGTGGGACAAACCTCCACCAATGTCTCTCGGTTGCACCTTAGAACCTATTGTAAAGCTGTATAAGTTCATTTATGGAAAATAATGGGACAATTTCCCTCAAATTACCAATAGCTGCATTTCACAGAATACACCTGCAGCAGTCATGTCAAAGGCCAAACTGGTGGATAAGAGTATCTAGGCACAATGCCTGGGTGATCTCATGTTACAAGGTCAAAGTACATATTTCAGTGGCTTTGTGATTTCAGTCTGAAGGCAGGGGTCTGGACAACATTTCCTCTGCTGTACTCCACCACCTGCTGCTCCAGTAAAATGGATTACAGATAAGTATGGCAGCTTAGATTAGTAAATTGGTTCATTTCTACAGGGTAACAACAATGAAATAATCATATCTTCTCAACTGAGACTGTGCTAAAATACATTAATATCCAACTACCATTGTCACATTTTAAGTAGTGGTGTATAATAAACAATGAATACAAACATGCAAGGTATTAAGAGGTTGTGTTTTTTACCAGTAAGACCTCAGCCAGGCTACGAGGGGAAACGTCTCTGGCGTCCTCTCCACCAACAGGCAGGGTCATTGGATTGTAGCTGCCATTCATCAGGAGCTGGAAGTACCTGAGGCGATTTTCACCTGTAAAACAATAAACATGAGTGGATCGGATGCCAGGTTGATAGAGCAGGAATAAAGCCAGTGAATGTTGAATAAAGCTTATCAGACAGGATAATTATGACAGCAAATTCTAACACATTTGTAAAAGAGCAGTGTGCATAAACAACTGTTTCCTGTCTGATTATTTTGCAAACAGTGATTATGCTGGTGTGTCATACAATAAATATGGTTTATATAAATATGGCAATCTGAAAGATTACCTGCAATGAATCAATGTTAATTTATTGACATACAATAACACCAAAACTTTGATATTTTATACATTACACACACACACACACACACACACACACAGTATCTACACTCATTATAAAGACAAAGAGGTTCATGATAATAAGTAATTTTGCAAGAATAAATTAAGAAAAACATTTATGTTGGTAAGATAATGGTGCACACACTAATTAAAAATATCAGTCATTATTATTTCTCATATTAAATAAGCAGAGGTGCAAATGTGCCACCAGGGAAACAATAAATACACAACACTGTCTTGAGAGGAGTTAAAGTTCCTGTTTTTGCCAGTTAATCAAAAAAAAACAAGAAAAAGAAAGAAAAATGAATTTCTATTATAAGTGAGTGAACAGACACGTGGGTAGAGGGGGGGGCTGTGACTGATTGGTTTGTGTTTGTTTACAGGTCTGAAATTAGGCACAGTGGGACTACACTGCACCCTCAGCTCTGGGCTCCTGGGATCAGCCTTACTATTCAATTGCATTCAATTTTCCCACGTTACCAGGCAACGCACGTATACATTTAGTAACGTGACCGATGTCGCTCCTCATAATCCACACGAACACAACACTCCACCGTCAGCACAGAGGAGGAGACACGAGGCTTGATCGCGCATAACAAATATAGTCCACGCGTCTTCTCCTCCCTTGAAAGAGTGAATCACTGTTTACCTTTCGGATCCAGCTCCACGTGGATGATGTTTCCCATAACAGACGTGTTGTGGAGCGACTGCACCGCCACCTTCGCGGCTTTCACGGTCTCAAAAACCACTTTGGCAATTCCCAGGTGCTTCTTGTTCTTCGGATTGTACAGGATCTCCACCTCCTCGATGTCCCCGAACTTCTTGCACATGTCCATGAGAAATCCTTCCCTGATGTTGTCGTTGAGCCGGGCGAATGTCACCTCCTTGGGAGGCACGGGGCCGATGTAGCACTCATCGATCTGGAAGAAGAATGGAGGGGAGGTCGGGTTAATGTCGTTAAGTGGCTTCGGGGGTTAATGTTGCACCCGGTGGGGTCTTCCCTGACAGCTGAGATAAGGACACGCCACAGTGGTTACAAAGAACATGCGAATGCACACACTCTCGTTCAAACAACTAAAAGATGGAGCGTGCGTGTGATTTATTTTGGTTTTCTGACAATCATACTTTCACTGGACGTCCCACAGATGAGTGAGGGGGGTGTGTCTGCAACTTCTGACAGCACCACAGGGAAAGACCCCTGTCAGCATAGCTCCTGTCAGAGTATGTACCTTAAACTTAGGCACCGGTAGATCCGTCTCTTTGTACTTAGTCCAGAGGCGACCGATCCTCGGGTCCCGGACAATGTCCACCGGGGACATCCCGGGGTTCTGCAGGAGAAGATGGGGGGAGAGGAGGGGGGGTGGTTACAATGATGTTATCCATCCCATTCACAACTTCACACTCCACTAACTTGTTGCAAAGTAGTCGACGGGTCGTGTGTTTAAAACCCAGCAGACGTGCTGGATGTTTTTGAGGGGATGCTGGAGCGTGTCCGCGGCAGCAGCGGCGACACGGCCACATTGTGACCAGTCATGGAGGTCTGCTCCTCGGTTACTATTGTGGCCGGGTCCCCCCCCCC